TGCCATCATCATCCTCATCATTTCTGCTACACTGGCAGGGCTAGGAGCCAGGACTCTCCTCTTCGGGTTCTTGGGGGATGTTGCTAACTCCGGGTCCGATAACAGGCACCACACCCGCAGTAGGTGTGCCCGGTGTGAGGTCTTGCAGCAAGCTATCAAATATGGCGCATTTCTCGGCTTTTAACAAAATGCTATACGTTGCCAGGTGTTTCATCAGATTCGAGGTGTTACCTCCTTTGCACAGTATCACAGTATCACCTTAAAGCACTTGTTGCAGGCTGCTGAGTTTGCATCTTTTGCTGTGAAGTACAGCCAGACTTTTGACTGCTTCGCCTTGGGCATTTTTAATCTGTAGCTCTGCTCTAAAAGAACGTACGTATCTGGGCCCGCCTACTACACTTGCAAAGGTAAAATGATTGGCTAGAATCCAAAGTGTGTGACATTTCAGGGAAAAAAAGCACTGAAATGTGCGCTGCTTTTCGGTCTGGTTACTACCGTTTATGTCAGAACCGGTGCCATAATGGCACCGTATACCGGTATCCATCCCTAATAATAAAGTGTATATTGGAGGTATTGGAAGCTTTTAACATCCACCAATCCAGGGTTAGGATCAGGTCCACATCTATACCTTTATTATATGGATTTTTTTTTTTTTACCTGGCCAGATGGAAATCTCACAGAACTGTGAAACTCATAACCTTGTCTTCTTTGCATATCAACCCTAGATTTCCTGAATCCTTTTCCCTTTCACACTGCTTAATCTGATGGGGTCTGATATTTAAGATTAATAAAATGGAAGGTTGCTGTTGATGTTTTAGTCTTGTTTACAGAGGTGTTCTTACATCTAAATTACATCCATACATGATTTATTGAATTCACAGAACCTCTGCCTGCAGTTGTCCAGTTGAATTTTCTTTCTGGTATCTTCTAAAACCTTTTAATTTGGGAAAATACAAATATTTAGTGACTTTGAATGTTTAGAAAGAATCTAAACCATCAGCAGCTACTAAAATATTTTATCAAAGTAGTTTTTTGCTTTGTTTTTCTCTGCTTGCCTAATGTCGTCACTTTGTTCACTCCTCCTTTATACCCTTAAGAGGGCTCTCCACCTGACATCACAAGCCGACTCAGTCAGCGTCCTCTTGGGCAAAAAACACCGCGCCATTTTCCCTTTTGAAGGCTGTAAGAGTAAATCACCCACTAGGTGCTCAGAGCTGTCTTTGAAATACTCCACAGCAAAAAGTGAAACGAAGCAGTAGTGTGCATGTGTAAATGTCAGAGGGATTAGAGCATGTGTGTGCCAGTGTACATAAGTGACTTTACATCTGGTAGTTGAGATTTAACCAGATTGAAAAAAAAAACACTTTAAATTCCAACTGATAATGCACAAACCTCCAGGGGATGAATTCAGTATGAGTTTTGCAAACATATGAAATCGAGAAAACCCCACGATGCACAGTGGACCGCTGACATTAGAGCCACAGGGTGTTTGCACACGCTTCTTTATGTCCTCAAATCCTAACTAGCTAATCAACGTCGATGCAGTTAGTTTCAATCGTATATGCAGCACCATCAAAACCACAAACACATTATCCCTCTGCAATTCTGAGCACCGACTCAGCAGATCGACGTGCCGCATATGTGTTAAGCAGCTGTGCAGGATGATCACTGGTCGGCCAGATGTTGCATCTCGCACCTAAATAACAGGGAAAATGGAATGGATTGATTAGAACTCCCATCTGCTGCGCTGGGATGGTGCTAATAAGCAGGCTGCAGAGTGCTCTTTCCTAGAGAGGGAGGTTACCGCAGGCAGAGTGTTCAAAGGCTGTCGCAGGTTGTATCAGAGGGGCCAAGAGAGGAAGAGGTGAAGCACGGCCCGGTGAGTTTTGAGAGGCAAAGCCTAAAGCTGACAAAAGGGGAACGACAGAGAGACAGATAGGCGGGAGAGGGCCAGTGCACTCAATTAAATTGCACAGCAGGACGGGGTAAATGGTCAAACATGCCGAAGAGTGCCGCAGTCAAGCATTTTTCAGAAGAGGTTAAACAGGTGATGTACTAATGCATTTCAGTCAGCGTTTAGTGGAGAGGAAAGCATTTAGTTTTCACTTCCCAAGCCAAGAATTAATGTACAAAGGGCTGTTTTTTTCCCACACTAAATCACAAAGTGGAGGCAAGCTCTAATAGAAAACAAACATCCCTCTTAAATGAGACACTGTACTGCAATATTAATTTATTTGCCCACACAATGTGGTCTCAGGAGGTGAGGGAGGGTTTTGAATTTACTAATTCTTACTGTAGTTAACATCTGGTAAAATATGAAAACCAAACAAAACACACCATAAACATCACCTCTGTCATTTAAAATCCCACGTATCCAAAATCAAGTCAGTTATTTCACCATTACTTGATTTACAAGTGTCAGTCAATCTGCTGTGTGCAACATATTTCACGCATTTCCTGTGATGAGAAGCAACTGGCAGCAGAATGAGATCAAAGGATGTTTTTTTCCTTGGTGAACAGGGAGCTTTGTATTCCCTGACAAAGAACAAAGTTAAAATGGTTTTCAGTATTGTGAGTCTATTTTTTGTGCAAGTCAATGACATAAAGGCTGTTCTTTTTTTTTTTCTTTGGTTGTCTCCTGTTGACACTAACGCACATCATCAGACGCTGTATACGTAGCCATCTCTAGCCTGTTGTTCTTGTTTTGAACTGATGTTTTCTGAGTCAGGTCATTAAAAAAATATGCACAATACACAGCATATGCACAAAGCATAAATATTGTGTCTTAAAATGTTTTCTCATCATGGTAAAAAGAAAGTACACCCTGTTTATATTCTGAGGTTTTATGTATATATAATAGAAAATGGTAAATATAAGTGCAGACTCTTACTGCTTCCATTCAGAGCGTAAGTAGCAGCCAGGTCCTGTTAATCAAATGTACTTGATTAAGTGCTCATGAGCAAGTGTGAGCACCTCTATAAAAGCGGTTTTGGCAGTTTGTTGGTCTGCAGCATTCAGGTGTGTGTTAACACAAGGACACAAGACATCAGCAATGATCTTAGAGGCACAGTTGTTGCTGCTCATCAACACAGATGATGTCAAACTCAACCACTCCAAGGTCAGACTGTAAATAATATTTAAATTCTAAATAAATAATGATGGCATATAATGTCTTGTGTTGTTAAAAGCATCTAATTTGAGAACCAGCAAAGACTAAATAAATATTTTATTATGTCCTGATATGTAAAACCTTAGTTGTGACTGAGAGCGTATTTTCTTTTTACCATGACTGCATACAGGGTACAACAACCTGAGCATGCACTGGGCAAATATCAGAAATGATGAAATAAAAGCAGTCCCTGTTTTCATGTTTAATGAAGAAAAGCTTGTTTTGAATAACAGAATGTTTGATGAAGAAAAGTGTGCGTTTGAAGCTTCTTCCGATTTACTTTTATCATTTGGAGATACAAACCTGCATTCATTTATAAATCTACCCTAAACTTGCTGCACTCCTGTAGCCTCACAGCAGCATTCCCACTTCTCTCTTCATGGTTTAAGGTCAGAACTATTTTGTTTCATCTAAACAAAGTCTGTGCTGCCAATATTCATCAAGCTTTTTCTAGCTCTGTGATGAATGATTTCACTCTTGGAAAAAATCCATAGACGCTTTCTTCGTGCAGGATCCTTCACACTGTCACTGTCACTCGTGTCAACAAATAATCCACGTGCCAGCTCCCATGCGCTACCGTGACTATTTTTCAATTCAAAGTTGCATGGGGGGCTAATTGTACATGAAATGATTTTCCCCAAAGGCCACCTTATCCGTTCCTCCTAACAGCTGCTGCTGCTTGTGTTTCTTTTACGTTCAGTAGCCTGCTCATGCTTGTACTGAGTTTCATGAACGTTCACCTCTCTTCTTGGAGGAGCTTCTTTTTCACGTGGAGCCATATTCTATTAAAAACGCCCAAGGCAGAAACCTGAGCAAACAGTAATTGAAACTAGCTCTCATCATGCTGATGGTTTTGCTGATACCTTTACACTTTGTACATCTTAGATGGTGCACTGTTTAAGCTGCTTTACAGATACTGAATACATGCAAGCTGCTTTGGAACCCACTTTCAATCTAGCTCAAGGATATCAAACTCATTTTTTATTATCATGGGCCACATAAAACCCACTTTGATGTTAAGTGGGCGGGACCAAAGAAACTCACCTTTCTGTCAGTCTAAGTAGGTTTAACTACACATTAACTAACCATTGTAGAAAACCAAATTCCCTATTATTGTAGAATCTTTCTGTCTTGTTATAGTTTGCTTATTTCTTCATTACTTTAGTGTAGTGTTACCAGCCATGGGTCCAGTCCAAAGTTTATACACTCCTTCACATTTTCTTGTGCCATCCATAGGGCCAGATTGGAGTCTGTGCTGGACCGATTCTTGTCCCCTGGCCTTGTGTTTGGCACTTCTCATCAAGATCCCTTTTTTATGCTGTCTCTGACTGTCATATCTCTTGTCATGCCTGATCTGTTCTATATGTGTGAGTCTTATTGGCAAATATAAATTAGTGCAGAAGGAAAGTCTTTCGGCTGTAGGGGTCCAAAGCCATGATTTTATAAACCTGCTTGTGCAATTAGCCTTAAATAGAAATTACATTTTGTAACAACTTGCTGCAGGTGGACTCCTAGATTCTACTTTGAGATATGTATTTTTAATTGCTGTTTTTTAATAATACATAGGATCAAATGCACTTTTAAATTAATGATTACCATTCCTGTAAAATGCTAGTTATCAAAATGTCTACAAGTAAAAAGATATTAAAAAACTCCATTTTAATTTCAGACGGTGTCCTGAAACAGTGGTAATAAGTTCATATTTAATGTAATCACAGCAAGGCACCAGTGAAGTGTTACTTAAAACAGAAAAATGATTCAGGATACTCGTGACTTTCCTGAATAACCTTTTAATCCAAGCTCCATTTATCTCTCTGGGTTTTCCTCTCAGATATGCGATAAGGAGTGGCATTACTATGTCATCAATGTGGAGTTCCCAGTGGTGACGCTCTATGTGGACGGAGTGACCTATGACCCCTACCTGGTGACGGACGACTGGCCCATCCACCCCTCACAGATTGATGTTCAGCTCACAGTGGGTGCCTGCTGGCAAGGTGAGCAGCCAAAGCTGATGATGATACCAGATAGCGGTGCAGGTATTCAGTTAATGTTCTTCAACAGAATTCATTCATCTTGTGGGCAATTAAAAAAAAGTGCAACTGAAACGAAAGTTTGAATATGAAGGTCATTGTAATTTGAAGTATTTTGAGAATCCTCCTGCTGCTTCTATACGTGAGAAGGTTCAGGGATAACACTGCTGAAGTATTTGCACTGAGGGAGTCACCGAGTGTGGAACGTGTTCTTTGGCCTTGAATGAACAATGTAATTAAGAAGAGCACTTAGTCTGCCTCTGACAAATGACTGAACGAGTGTGAATGAAGGCGTACAATTAAACTGTCCTCTAAACTGATAGCTGCCACTAATTGCATAAGGGTAGAAGAAAGAGGATTTTTTATGCATGCTGCTGATTTGATAGCCCAAATGAGAATGCTCAGTGATGCTTAGCCTTACATAAAGATGGCTCTCAATGTGGGGAGCAGCAGCAGGTCATCATGTGTGGCTTTCATTTGCATTCATCCTCCTTTACTCCACCTCCCTCTCCCATTTTTTTTTCATTGAACACTGTAGGCCTTCAGGAAGATTAAAGGGGCCTTGAATAGTAGAGGGAGTTCAGAGACTATTTGTGCTTTCCTTGTTGGGGCCAAAGTCTCAGTCGTGTATTGTAAAGGCAGTACTAAAATCTGAACATAAGCCATTAGCGACATAAATAGCCTTTTCAAAGCACAGAGTTAAGTATCCAGTATGTTGATTGCAAACATGCTTGCAAAGTTGCGCTCGTCTGTTGTCTAACTCGCCCGGTTTGGGCTGTAAATGTGTTTTCAGAGCAAAAGAAAAAGAAGGAACGTGAACACTTACTGATGTGCAGTAGCATGTCTTTGCTTATTATAGCTGCTAACTGATGGGCTTCACAGAAACAGTCGGATGCTGATAGAGAGTTCAGGCAGGATATAATATGATGGAGTGTGGTGGCACAGTAAATAAAAACAGATTTGTCAGCTCTAAGTGCTTCACTGATATTCTGGAGTATTTAATTCAATGTAATGATTTAATTTCATGGTTCATAAGTCTTAACTGGTCGGTCAGCATTGTCTAGAAATGGATTCTGTCTTGACTACAGCAAATTGATTTAATCTAGAATTATTGTGTTACATACAGTCACCCAAATAAGCCATTCTGGTTGTTGTAACAAGGTCTGTAGTGTTGCTACATGTGCTTCAGACTGATTAAACTCATTAACAGGTGATCATGGTCTGCTTTTAGAGAGCCTGGTAAAACACCAACGTGAAAAATACTTACTGTGTGTACACACTGTGTGCGTTAACACTCATTCTTTTTGCAAATCAGTTGCAGAATTAACCAAACAACCAGCCTAAGAACAAAAATCAGGCTTCTTAGTTTGTTATTACTTGTTGTTTAGTGTAAATTGCCCAACATTAGTTCGAGATCACCGTGAAGTTAAGATCAGCTGCATTGCTGCCAGTTTACCTGATCTTAGCACCATCTTAGCATTCTGCATGCCTCAGTTGTGACCATTCGGCACATCCATTTGGCAAATGTAATGTAGCTCTCTATTTTAGTTGCTTTAGCCTGCATTGAGCTGCTATGCATCTGCAAGCCACCCCAGCCCAGCCCAGCTCTTCCCTTATATCCCATATCTGAATGAATCAGTGTTATGTTGTCTTGATGCCTGCTCTATTCTGTGTTTGGATCTTGCTGTTGGGGTTCCTCCCTGCAAAAACCGACTCCTGCACATGGAAATACCAATACAAATACAAACAGCCTGGACTATTATATGCTGGGATGATTCATCCTCATTCTGAGATTTGGGATCTTTCTCTATGAAGACGTTATGTCTGGGTGAGCACTAAGCAGCATCCGCCCCTTCTGCACATGCACACACAAAGGTGTGTGATGGTTGCTGCTGGATGAATGCACGGTTAAAGTAGCTTCAACTTCAGTAGAAAAAATAGCTCCTGTTCTGTTGTGGTCTAAAATACTTATACACTTCAGTTGGACGATTTACATAAACTATAATACTTTTGGCTTTCCACTCCTCAACAGTTAATGCATGCTGAACTTTAATCCCTCATCCTTACTGTGAGTGAAAAAGAAAACAAAACTATATGTTAACCATCTTAAAATCAGACTTATTGAAACTACAGACAGCACTGTATTAATGGAGGTATGCTTCTTTGTGAGCGGTGGTGGTGAGGGAGGTTAGTTCTAGTAACAGATTCGTGAATTTCTATGTGCAAAAATACTGCACAGGTGTTTATAAGGCTATGTTTACAGTTCTGGACTGTCTGATGTGATGACAGGATCTTTCCAGGTGGATCTGCATTCATTGAAATGAGTGAGAGGCCTGTGCTGTGAATGAACAGCTAAAGTCTAAGTACAAAACCTTTAATATGCAAAGACAGATATAGATGGTATTAGTCTCATGGTTAAAATCAGTCTTAAACCTAGAATCCATTGGCCATTACTGTGCATAAGACAAAGTCTTTCCTGCTAACCTGCTAGTGAAACAACAAAGCTTATTTGGCTGCACACCTGCCTGCCTTTTTTCCACACTCTCCTATTTTCTAATAAAAATGTTTCCCCCCCATCAAACCCTTTGCTTCCACCTTGGAGAGTAAGTGCTGGCTGTGTACTCCTCACACAGTCAATCTATATTTACCCTCTGACCTGACGGAGGGTGTTCATGTTCGGAAGTATGTAACAGCCAGATAGCAAAGAGCAACACGCTCATCCTGCCTCGTTCTCTTCGTTCCTCAAGTGTGTAATCACACACCGTTGGTCTGCCTCTGGAGCTCCCCTCCTCACAGTGGTAAACATGCAGGAAGTAATTTTGATGATTTGCACTGCTGAGCCATAAATATATCTGTATGTAGAGTGTATTGAATAAATACAGGCTCACAGGTGTTGATACTCATACATTATAAGTGTAGAGCTAAACGAGGGAGCCACATCTTTCATATTTACACTTAAGTAATGATCCTGTTTCCAGCTCACTCATGCCTCTCCACCTCATCTGTTGTTTTCGAAACGACGCAAATAAAAAAGAGTGAAGATCTATACGGCTGCACATATCGGGCAAAGAGAGCTGACACCACATAAAGACCAGTCTCTGTAAAGTGGAATGATCAGTGATTTTATCACCCGTGTCATTCCTGCTCTGAAGCATCTCAGTAATCCCCTCTCCTCTGCTTTTCTTTTTTTATCCTCTGTCTGGGATCCTTAATGGTTTCTCTGGCCACGGCCTAAATTGATAACATCTGTCAGCGTGGGACTAAGTGGAAAGGTGGACATCCTAAGAGAAGGCAGGGGAAGAAAAACGTAACTGAGCATGGGAGTGAGAATAAGGGAAGCGTGAAGTAAAAGGAAACTATGGCTTTGGCATAATTTGGTGTCTGTTAATCCAAATGTGACTTTGTGGTTTTATGAGATAGACTGAAGTTGCCTGACAGCCTGGCACTTGGCAGGGCATCAGCCAGCATGTATAAAGACATGGCTGCGGTTGTGGTAATTTAACTGGACTGGAGTGGAGTAACATGGAGTGACTTGATGTCAGTGTGGCCCTGTCACTCCACACAGTAAAATGTGAATACACTTACAGGTGATTGGTGTCAGGAATACTAATAATAATAGACTGTATACAGTGATCCAGTAACAACCACTACTTTCCTGTCAAGCTTGTAGTTCTGTACAACACATAACACAGTTTAAAGTGACACACTTGACACATTTACCTCTTAATGGCCCCGGTGGTTAATTTATGTCAGTTTACAACAGCTGCTGAACATTTTCATCAGCTTGCTTAAATACAATCATCACAAAAAGAAATGCTAACTCTTGCCTTGCTGTCTATACAAATGTAACCAGTGTCAAAAATCATACTGATTCTCTTTTTTATTTCTAGGAAGTCAAATGTCACACAGACACCATCTTCATTGCCACAGACACCATATATTTCGATTCAGGCTTCAGAACAGCCAGCAGATTTGCTCTTCAAATAAATATGCTACACTATATAAGCTTATATTCTGCTCGTGTGTAGCTGGTTTGACAAGCCTAAGCAATTACAAAAAGGTATATGTCTAAAGCTTGACAAGACAATTGCAGTTCTTTGAGTAGAAAATAGTTTGAAAAGAACATTTTCAAAAGTCTGTTTCCTGCTTGCTTTTTCCAAACTCTTCCATTAACTTTCGAGTAGGTGTATGGGAGCATTTGTCATACAAGCATGACTGGGGACTTGCACCTAAATTCATGAACTGGACAGTAAGCTGAAGAGTTAGGGGGTAAGAATTTTTATATCTACCCCTCTATTTCCCACTTCCTAGTCAAGAAAAAGGCTTCATCTGTTTCTCATCTAAGAAGGCAGGCGAGCAGATGACAAGCAGCTGGGTTGATAAGATCCCCCGGGTAGATCACATCAACTGGTAGGACTCTGTTGTCTGCCCCGTGGGTGATAAGGGAGCTCTGTCTGAGTAGTCACTGTGCACAATGTAGCTGCAGGTCAGCAATCATAGCCTCCCTGACTTGAAGGGCTGGATTCACTGCTCCCCATTTCTGTCATGTTTTCTCACCAGGAGAGCGAGGCATGATAAAGTGTTTCCAGTAGTGGTCAGTTGTGTCTCCATCTGTGCTGACCGAGCCATTCAAGAGCTAAATGCATCACTTAAGACAGTAATAAATGTGCCGTTACAATTAGAAGGTACTGGGCAACCCCCAAAGGAAAGTTTATCATCATAAAAGTATAAAGAGTTTTCAAGAGTGTGGAGGTCTATTGTATTGAAATAGAAAGGGAAATAGACGTACTCTCCTGCTTCTGGTTTTTCCTCTCTGGCCTATGATGACTTAATAAGAACAAAAAAATAACTTATAGTTATTAAGACAAAGAAGAAGCGCTAAATGAGCACAAGTCTCCACCAAGGCAGCTCATTCCCTTTCTTTAAAGCTGTAACTCATTTTGGGATCAACTTGAGAGAAAGGCAGATGTGAAATGTAAAAGTGAGGTCAGAGGTCAAATGTGAAACAATATTTGAATGCAAACTATAATGTGATATTTAGAATCCACATATACCAGTATCACTTCATAACTACTACCAATACAAACAAAGGCAGTAAAATTTTAATTACAGTTTAAAGATAAAACACATTTTATGAAAGCTTGATCCTATTTGACATTGAGGAAGAGGTCAGAGGTCCATCATAGTGATGTGATACAAACAATGGCAGTAAGAAACATAGTTTTAAACAGCTCTGGATATCATTATTATCGCTTTGACCTTCAGATCAATGCTTTGACCTTAAAGGAGAGGTCAGAGGTCAAATGTAACATGATCTTTGAAATCTTTAAACATTAGCTACTACATCCTGAAAACACACACCACATAGTTTCTAATTTATGAGGCTTTTTTTTTTAATCAATAAATCAGTGAGTTGACCTTAAAGACTTTGGTGGATGTCAGCCAAAATGTAACAGATTTAACACCCCCACTAAATTGATCAAAATTCATTCAATCAATTACATAAACGCTACCAAAAACATAACCTCCTTGGCAGAGATAAGTATGGCTGGCGTAAGGACAGTATATCCAGGGGGAGTTTTCATTTTTGTAGATGACTCTTATTTTTGTCAAATCCAGTAATACTTGTGCACTGGAGCCTTGCATGAAAGCTAATACCTTTGCCACAGCTGTTCACTCATCAAACTTTGAGGTCCTGAAGGTTGAGCATGAATGTGTCATGTCCTTCAACAGACACAGGCGTGTCCTGATAAACACACGCCGACCATCGCAGACAAATGTTATTGTCAGTACTTTGGCCTTTAACATCTATAGCCCAAAGGGCTGCCAATTCCTTCATATTACCCTGCAGATTGTGCCACTGACACCTACCTGCAGCAGTTTCACAGCAGGGATCCGCAGTACTCAACTGCTGCAGTATACCTGCTTTTAAAATGTTCAGAGCTAGTTCAGTCATTAGGAAGGAATTGTCAGAAGAAAAACTGCAGCACCACATATAACGTGTGTAAGGATCCTCCAGAGGTAAAGATTGTTACAACCTATTTACCATCTGTATGAGCTGAGATACTCAAAGATGCCTGGCAGTAAAGGCAGTAAAAATAATGTGTTACATCTGGAATCCTACCCAGAGCCCACTGTCTACAGCTGCAGGATTAAGTGTCTACTGGACACAGCGGCTGAGGTTCACAGGTCAGAGCAAAACGAGATCAACTTATAAAGAATCTACTTACAATGCAAAAGTGGAAGAAAGACACTGGCATCCGAGTGACGGGTTAATGCGGTTAATAACAGATTAGCTCAAGGCTATTAGATAACTGGACCCAGTCCCTCACTTGCTGTATCTACTGAGTAATTAGATGCAAAGCAAGCGGCAATCATGGAAGAATCTGTGGACATGCCTGATTTTGGCCAAAGCTGTACATATTTTCCCAACATTAAGAAGCAGGTGTGAAAAAAATCCTGGATTTGCCAGCAGCAGTCTCTTGAGAGCAGGTGGATCAGGGCACAGAGTCTCTCAGAAGTATGTTGAGAGGCAAGACAGATCAATTAATCACGAGTGGAAGACTTTCTCTTGGTATGCACCCTTCCCATCGGTCACTGCTTCACTTCATCCTCCAAATGTGTTTGATCAATGAGCCAGTTTGGATTTTGTTGTCATATGAGCGGAATGTTCAATACTTTTAGTGCTTCGGTGGATTACCGCCAGAATTAGAGACCAAAAGAGGGAAAAGGAAGAGAGAAATGAAAGGAAGGACAGGAATCCAAAGGTGACGTTTTGATACCCAGAGCTGGTAACCTTTCAGCTAATGAGTGGTTTGGAGACTCATATCGCTGGTATTGGCCTTTATGGAGTTCAGAGGACAGCCTTTAAATGTGTTGACTTTTTCCTTACCTTTATTTAGCCTGGATGGGCTGGCTGAGGAGCACTTGCACTTATACAGCAGTACCCTTCCACTTAATCATAGGTTGTGAGACACAAAACATGATTCTTTGGGCCATTTATAACCATTATTTGACCTAAAGGATCATAAACCAGTGGTTTACTGTAACTAAATGTTTACATGACCTTCTGTAATGATTCCATAAAAAGTGGGAAAATGATTTTCATTTATCTGAACTGTAGTAGTACGCACTGTTTTATCTGTTTGTTGTTGTTTTCTGCAGGTGGGGAGGTGACCAAGCCGCGGTTCACTCAATATTTCCGGGGAAGCCTCTCTGGATTGACCATCCGACCGGGAAAGATTGAGAGTCAGAAAGTCATATCCTGTCTGCAGGCCTGCAAAGAGGGACTGGACATAAACTCCCTCGAGAGTCTGGATAAGAGTATAAAGGTACACGTACACAGAGATAAAGGAGGTGTTTCAAAAAGAGGGACTGCAGTAAAACCTCTCATCTTGGTTTAAAGCGTCGGATAATAGTGCAGATCACATCAGTTCAGCGAAGAGAATGGATATTAAAAGAAACAGAGGATGGGCTTTTTTCAGTGTTTTAGATACCAAAAGCCAAGCAATTACTGAATGACTCGCTGAATTCAAGTGTGGTACTGTAACAGGATCCCAGTGTTGCCATAAGTCAGTTCATGGAATCTCCTAGATATTCCTCAGTCAGGAAGTAAAGTGTTTAAGAAACAAACCAACTCAGTCATGAAGTTGCAGACCACATAATGTTACGGGGTTAACACTCCGTAGGTGTTATGTGTATGTGACCCAGTACGTTTGTCAGTATAGCGTAATGTCACAAGGAAAGTGTTGCGTATATACATGTAAGTGGTTCAGCTGTTATTCAGACTAACAGAGGCTACGGTCATCTGTGCGTTCCTGAAGCACACCAGTCAGCTTGTACCGTATTTCCTGTGTCTACCCAAACAGTGTCGCCACCTGATTAAGCAACTAATGAAGCAGTGGAGCACAGGGGAAGAGACGAGTCGGGTTCTTGCCTTCCCGGCCCTCAATAAAATCTGCCGCCAGAAGCAGGAAACGTACCTCAACCCCTATTCTTAAGCAAGTGTACATTTCTTATGTACAAAACTGCAAGTTCACGTCTCCCAACGTGCTGCCCATGATCAACTTCATGCAGAGAACTCTAACAGAGATGTACACGCTGGACACAGAGGTCACTTACCAGCACTTCATCTATACCCGACAGCTGGCCAGTTACCTTAGAAACGCCATGACCATGAAGAAGAAAGAACCGTATCAGCGCCTTGTTGGGATTTGGCGCTGTATAAATAAAATTGAATTTAATTGAATTATATATTAGAGGTTGTTGGCTAACAAATTGCTGTATTAAAAGTAATCAAATGTAAACGTTTTGTTGTTCCTAAGCAGACAGAACAAACTATGCTAATTCAGCTTTTAATATGAAGTACAAAATACATCTACTTCAATTCTTATACAAACACTACAATGTGTTGATCAATAAATGTAATGGCAACCAAACCTGGCTTTCCTGAAAATCTTCAACTACCTTCTTCTTCCCCTTTTTCACTGGCGTAGCTAATTGATCTCACTGCGCTGTGCAAGATAGAGGGCATACAAGATAGATGGGGCTTTGTGTGGACTCAAAGCCATCGCCTGTAAGCACCCTACCACTCTCAGCTCCTTTATTCTTTCTCCCTCTTCAGCTTTTCCCTCTCCAGCAAACTCCAGATCCTTCTATAGAGAACCTTGTGCTGTGGCGCAGCAAAGAGATGCATGCCAGCCTTTTGAAAAGGCATGCTGGGATGAGGTGGAGGATATGAGAGAGAAGAGGAGAGCCTCTCTAGGGCCAATGCAGTTTATCTTTTGAGAGCCATTTAATTTTCTTCTTAGCCACACACTCATCTGGCCCCTGGAAGTCCACGGGAAGCTTAGCCAGGCAGGTGGACAGCTGGCACTGCACAATCAGAGGAGAATAACAGGCAGAGAGGCAGGTAGACACAAAGTATAGACAGAGAACAGAAGATGAGAGGAGACAGAAAGAAGTGTGAATGGGGAAAATGACAGGGCGCGGGGACTGTATAGAGCACCACAGAGAGGAGGAGTAACTTCACCCTGGTGCTGATACCCAGTTTTAGAAAATGGGAACTACTCATTGCAGTTCTGGCAGAACACTGAATCCTTTTTGAAGTAAGAAGGCTTCAAATCGCTACCATCAAACTCTGCAGGAGAGCACACTGCTCTGTAAAACCAGCTCTACTGTGTGTCTCTATGTTTACGATATTTACTAGTTCATGCATATTCCCATTATTATCATACTGCCATGTTTAGTTATGCCAGGTTTTCATTTATTTCAGTACAGTATGGAAGCAGAAGCCTGAAACTACCTTGAAACAGGTGATCCATCACAGTGAACATTGGATGTGTTTGTTTTATGCCGTTGCATGGTAAAGCAGCACAGCCGTGATGTTCACTTTGATGGATTGCCTGATTCAAACAAGTTGCGAGTCTCTGCAAACTAATGTGTGCACCACTGTACAGTGAAACCTGTAGAACACAGGGACTGCCTGGAAACAAGCAGAAAGGTAGTGACCTTTTATCATTTGCAGAAACGCTGCTGAAATTATTCAGTTTTTACCCCTCAGGCTGATGGAGTATTGCTGTCAACCCGCCGGGCAGGCGGGCAGCGTGGACCCCCAAGTTTGTGAATATGATAACTCGAGGAGGTGACATAGGATTTTGAAATATCATACCATAGGTGCATCTACTAAAAATCTCAGATGAGTTCGAATCTCAGTGATGCTGACCTCAAGGATTTTCAAATTTATACCATAGGTGCATCTGCCTGAGGGCTGGGCATGATAGTGCTACCATGGGATTATAAGCACCCTTGCCTCTTGTTGCATCACAAATATCAAACACTATACACTAAAGGTTCAGCAACAAAAAGTTGGTTTTCTGGGTTTCAGCCACAGGAGCCTAAGCAGACAAATCCAGAGCTCCCTCTCCTCATGCAACCTCCTCCAGTTTACCCAGGAACACTTATTCATTTGAATCGTGACCCTGAATGGGATAAGTGAAAGAAATACATTTGAAAATGTTGTTTTTTCTAGTCTTTTCTACTCTCAGTATAAGCCACATTCACTTGGTCAAACCCACAAACACATACAATAAACAGAGATGACACACGGCGACATGTTTATAGGTCGTATCTTGGGCAAACATGCAGACTTGAGGATCTGGATTTTGAATAAAGCATCTCAGATTATTGGATAAGCTGTTCTTCCTTCGAAGCTGCGGCCACCCCTGAAATATCCATATAGTACCGATTCCATTTAATTATTTGATCTTAAGGCCACGACTTGAAATCGTTGGAGTTTAATCACATTACCACACAGCAAAGCGTGAGCCGCGCGGTATGTAAACGGTAAGTTTTGCACAGAGAGTGGAATCTGTACCCCTGCCCCCCCTTCTCCTGCAGCAGGTTAATCTGCCCATGCCCTGCACGCTTTCACTCTGTCAGCTTTCGTATGCACAGGCTAATCTACAGCATCTCAATTAGAGCTGACTGATTTCAGTTTTAAATGGCTCTGTTCCCACGGACATTTTATCATCTGCTGTGTCAGTTCTCGCTCTCCGTCTAACATCTGTGTTTTCTCTCTCCCTAGTTTCACTTTAACCCAGCTCAATCCATCCTGGTAATGGAGGGCGAGGACTTGGAGAACATGAACGCCGCTGTGAGGAAAGTTTCCTACATAAACTCCCGTCAGTTTCCCACACCAGGCATCCGACGCCTGCACATCTCCACTACCGTCCAGTGAGTGCACTGCCGCGTTCGTCTTGTTCTTCGCCTTGTTTTTTCTCCTTTATCTTTACTGAAATCTGCTTCGTGTGTGTCTCTCTGTCGTTTTTTTCTTCCTACACGACGATATTTGTTTCCTTTAGTGTTCACACGCTTTCTCTGTTTCTGGGTACCTGTTCTTTAAGATGTTCGCCCACCTCGACACTTCTGTTAAAACAACACGGCAGACATCACACCGCGACTGATATATAATTCCCTTTCCGCGCATTGATCCCCACCCCGCCCTCTGTTTCTCGTTTTCCTCTGCTGTCGCTTCCCCTTTCCTTTAATACACCATTTTCGGTTCACTGTCGCCACCGGGGGCTGGTTTTTACATTTTCATGTCATGTATTAATAATTCTTCCTGGATTTTGCCAGAGGAACGAGGGGAAGAGAGATGCAAAAGGAGAGGGTGTGTGTGTGTGTGTGCGCGTGTGTGTATGTGTGTGCGTGTGTGTGTGTGTGTGTGTGTGTGTGTGTGTGTGTGTGCGTGTGTGTGTGTAGACGCAAGGCACAGAGAAGAGAGGCTGGCTGGTAAAACAGCCTCCCTTGGCGGGTTACCATTAAAATTCATGATTGTTTTAAATATATGTAGACCCCTGCAGCACAGCCCTGGGGTTTCACTCTCCGCCCTCCCGATGGGTACGATGCACAGCGGCAGGCCCGAGAACTTCAACTAACACAGCAGAAGAGTGTGTGAGAGTGTGGATGGATGAGTATGCACATGTTGGTGTGTGTGCTGCACAAGCTGCTGGTGATGAAGCAGAGTCGTAGCTGGAGGCGCACCGATTATCAAGGAATACATTATGCTAATAAGGGCTAAGCTTGCATCATTGCTAAATGTTGTTTAAATGAAGTTTTTCCACAGACTGCTGACTAGTCTGTGAGTTGCCGCAGCTGTGCGTGTGTGTCGTGTGTGTGTGTTCTGCGTGTGTGTGTGTGTGTGTGTGTGTGTGTGTGTGTGTGTGTGTGTGTGTGTGTGTGTGTGTGTAAAATAAGGAATAAAACACTACTTGAGGACATGTGTGGCTAATGTTTAAAAATGGGGTCCACTCAAAAGCATGTTTAGGGGATGAGTTTTATTTAAACATCCAGTTTGACTCCAGAAAAAAAAAGACAGTAAATCTTGCCTTTCAGCTCTGTTAGTTACACTGAGAGTCTGGAAATTGGCCTCCTGCAAGAAGGCATCAGCGGGTGAACAAACTCCCTTCACTGCTACAGACAGCATGGCTTTACACAAATAAACAGAGATGCTAAATATTTCCTGGCGATGCAATTAAACGTCTTTCTTGCTGACGCCTAATAAGCCAAATTACTGCAGGCACTGAGAATATAATTAGACGAACCACGTTAATCTTAACAACAAGGATCATGGGTTCCCCTCGTCCTCGGTCTTGTTTTTTGTCACAGAGAGCGGTTCAGACACGGAATCTGTACTAGAACGCAGAATTTTATTGATTCCGCGTTCTAGATGCTGTGGAATCAACAAAAGTGTAAACGTGGCGTCGACGGTGCATTATTCTCGTACCACAAAAACACGAAAATGGAGACGGACGCTTCCCGGACAGGTGCTTTCAGCTGGCTCTGGGGCTCAGATGTGATTGGAGAAGTGCTGCAGATAACAGATCTAATTAGCCAGAGAGAAAACACCTGTGTGTGTGATCGAAGTCCAGGTGTGACTAATGACATTAACACTGGCTGTGGTTCATTAAGGTATCCCACTAGCCTTTGCCAGTGAGACACAACGCACAGCACTGGGACCCCCTTGACACGCACCTGTGCTTTTTCCTGCTAAAACTGGTGAAAATACCGGTCTGGAAAAACATTACTGCACATGCCCACTTGAGATTGGCCGTGGAATGTTCAACGCGAGGGTGAACAATCACGACTTGATACGACATGGCTTGTGTCGTAGCCAGTCGTGGTTTGGGATGCAAATGTCCAAAACTTTAGAAATGGAAAAATATATGCAATACGTCCCAGAAAATGAGTTTTAAGAATCCATCCATCCATCCATCTTCATCCACTTTATCCGAGACCGGGACGCTCGCCCTCGGGCACCCTCCCCCGGGCCTGGCTCCAGGGCAGGGCCCCGGTAACCCTATCCCGGGCAGGGTAAACTGTTCCCTCGATATTCTTTTCATAAGGGTCTTCTGAATCGCTCTTTGTCTGGTCCCTCACCCAGGACCAATTTGCCATGGGAGACCCTACCAGGGGGCAAAAGCCCCCAGACAACATATAGCCCCTGGGATCCCTGGGACACACAAACCCCTCCACCACGTTAAGGTAGCGATTCAAGGAGGAGAACTGTGTGCCAGTTTTAAGAATCATTTTAAGAATTCATACGTAATGTTGTGTTATATATGATATTATAAAAAGTTTGTATAGCCATCATAGCACCAACATTTTGTATAAAAAGACATACTACCAGTAATGAAAAGCATTCCCCTATGAAAGATTTAAAAAACACAAAGTTCAAACTATAAAAATTGGTTTAGCAGTGTAACACAGAGACATGTAAGAGACAAGTAAAGACTGAAACAGTGTACCTCAGTGGTTAAGAATAAAGTAAAGAACACCAAAGTGCTCACATGGTGGAGAGGTGGATAGCACCGTTGCCTCACAGCAACACGGTCTTGAGTTTGAACCCACCTTCAGTCTGGCCTTTTTGTGTGGAACTTGCATGTTCTCATTGTGTCAGTGTGGATTCTCTTTGATTTCCTCTCATAGTCCAAAGACATGCAGTTAGTGGGGTTAGTGTGAACGCGAGTATAAATGCTTGTCTATCTCAGCTGGGATGGGCTCAATGACCCTGAATTGGATAAGTGGACAAAAATGGAAGGGCTATATTAACGTGTATTATAAAAAACTCTACATAATGTTTCTTTATAGCTGATTTAAAAGAAGGCAAAGGTCTGCAGGCAGGGCGTTTTACAACAAGTCTCCCAAACAGCAAACACTCTGTGTGTGTGAACAGTCAGATTTCTCCTGCAGAATCTCAGGCTGCTCACTGAGACAAGAGTTCCAATATGTTTCCTTGAGCCATGAGGGGTTTTAAATGTGAGACATAAAATTTTAAAATGCATTCTAAAACAAATGAGCAGCAAATGTAGAGCCGTTAAACGAGTGTAATACGTACACTTGTCTTAGTTCTTACAAGAAGTCTTGCTGCTGCATTTTGAAACATTTGAAATCTATTAATTGATTCTTGATTTACACCAGTTACAAGACCACTGCAGCATGAATGATCATTTCAGTATTGCTGAAACTCAGTGCTGATCAAACGGTAGTAGCAGGACTGAGAAACCTGCTTTGTATAGTTCTCAAAAGTGAGGCTGAATATCACATAGCACACCCAGATTACAGACGATTAATTTAGCATTAACTATCAAAAGACCAAAGAAAGGCTGAAGGATAGGATGCAGTTTATCAGAAGCAGTGATAACAATGACAGTTTTGACCATTTTGCAATATTAGTTCAACATTTTGTAAGAATATAGTAGTTTGTGGTGTCTGTGGACAATAAAATTGGAAAATGTAAAAGCTGGCAGAGCTGTTGTACATGTACATGTATTTACATAGGGGAATAAAAATGACTGAATCTGTGGGTCAGGTATTGAGTTTTATGATGTGACGTCATGAGCAGAAAGTTGTCCGTTATATTGGACGTGATACAATTGAAAAATGGGACGTAAAAATGTTTTCTCCCGCCTGGCTTGCAGTGTTGCCAACTCTAGCTGTGTGAAATCAAATTCGAAGAAGGTGCTACGCCAAAAACCTCTTCGTCATTGCTGTGGTTGCTACCAAATTGTTACAGTTGGCTGCAGTTTCTTACGTTTGTCTGCAAACACTTGCTAACTACGAGCCATATGGTGCAACTTTTATTCTGATGGTCAGACCGTCTCCATTTCTGGTCTGTGTTGCACTTCCCACAGTGTCAGCACAGCTTGGACAACTCATTTTCATTTAAAGTACAACCGCAGCAAAATGCTAAAAGCCAAAGCAATCCCAGTGAGGATTTTTCCAAACGATTAGAGAATACATGTTTTTCCTTAGTGATAGGTGGTTGCCATGGTGGTCACTTACTGGTCCGTAGGCTTGTGTGCCTGGGGATTTAGCAATCATTTTCCCAGCAACTGCCATCAACCTCCAGCGACCGGTAATGAAATATACATTTTTCCCTCACAACCACTGGTTAACAAATGGTCATGGACCAGTCTCTAGGCATGTGTGACTGGGCTCTTAAACTGTCACTATGAATCTCAGGCATCCAGAATGGTGGTCACATGCCTGCAAAACCTCAAAAAAGAATGCTTATCAGGTTGTTAGTCTTATACTAATCACTGTAGCTATATCTGTGGGGGAGTCATCTTGACTTCTGATGTTTTTAAATGTCAGTAATTACTAGTAGTTATTATAGCATCGTTCCAACTATATGAGCTAGTTCTGGAGCTCTGCTACTCTGACTTTAATCTTTATGCTTCTCCGTAACAGCAGGAGCACTCTGAGTGATAGCGATGTGTATATGTTTATATACGAGCAGTCTGATAATAAAACACACACTATAAAGGTTTTCTTCTAGAAGACTCTGACTAACATAGCAGGGCTAATAAGCTGCTTTACCACACAAAGCTATAATCAGATCATAAAGTTTAACAGCTATTACGTAGTAGGATGAAAATGGCATGTCATGTTTATATGAGGACTAAATGAGTGGTGTAGTAATCACTGCAAAATGCAAGCTGTAAACTGAAAGTCTGGTTGTTTGCCATGTGATGTCAACTTACCAATAATTTCAGTGTAGGAGCGCATGACATTTTTTACCCGTCAAAACAGTCTTGCAAAGAAAGGTTCATGAAGCCAGCTGTAAGCTAGTTGTAGCTTTGCTGTGTCGAGTGTCTTTTAAATCAGACAAGTGTCTCCAAGAGATTCCTGTTAGGTTTGAAGTTTGTGGGCTGACACGTTCATAACCAAGC